TGAAGTGAACAAGACAATGTTCTGCCTTCCTGTTTCAGATCTTGTACTACAAATGTGTCCATTTTGTGGTCTATTTTGTGCCATGTTTTCCACATTTTTGCACTTTTTAATGATGATTTTGCCATTTAAAATTGTACCAAGCATAGTGCTGAAGTGCTGTCTGGTGTTTCAGAGTGCGAGAAGGTGGTAGTGTCTTGTGAGGGAAAACGTACATTTTGGATAAGCTTCATTTAGGCAGAAATTATAGTGCTATTAGTGGCGAATTCATTGTTAATGAATCAACAATACGATACACCCAAATAAAAGAAGAGGAAACTCACTGATCTGTATGTGATGCTGCTGCAGAAGGTGCTAAAGTAACATCTATATATGCAGCAATGGAAAAGATGGAAAAGCAGCTAAATTAGTGGATTCATGGAATGATGACCAATAAAAAAAGCATAGAGGATAGCATTGTTGCGTAATTTGAAAGCCAAAGAAATTTATGGGCGTGTTACCCAGCATCAGGAAAACGTTAAACTCTTCTTGGCTAGTGTTTATGCATATAATTATTTGCAAATAAATAAATAAATATTTTTAAAAGATTAAACAGAAACACATATAAAATAAGGTTATTTGTGGATACGCTGTTAAAAATGTTTTGACCAGAGATTTGCAGGAACCTAGCCCTGTGTTTTCCCTACCTGTAGTGGCTCATTTGTTTGCTAATTCAGTGTTCATCAACATTATAGAACATAATTACCACAGATTAAGAGAATGTTCTTCCAGACGGCCATGCTCCCACAATTGCTGTATGAATCTGCTCTTTTCTCCACTCCCAGCTAACACAATGTTGTTTCAAACTTTTTGATATCTGAAACCTGGTAGTCTGATAATAGTCTGAAACCTGAATAACGGTATCTTGTGATTTTAATTTGCATTTCTTTTAGTATGAGTAATGTAGACTATCTTTTCATGTTTTAGAGCCATTCATATTCCCTTTTGTTCATATCCTTTTTGCATTTTCTTTGGATATTTGTCTCATTGATTTGTAGGGGATCTTTATATATTAAGAAAATTAGCCTTTTATGCTATGAATTACAAATATTTCCCCAAATTTGTCATTCATCTCTTGACTTGAATGGCAAAAACAAACACTATAAACAGGCCAGGCAAGGTGGCCCATTCCTGTAATCCCAGCACTTTGAAAAGCTGAGGTGGGCGGATCACCTGAGGTTAAGAGTTCAAAACCAGCCTGGCTGACATGGTGAAACCCCGTCTCTACTGAAAATACAAAAATTAGCTGGGCATAAGAATCGAGAATCACTTGAACCTGGGAGGTGGAGGCTGTAGTGAGCTCAGATTGTACCACTGCACTCCAGCCTAGGTGACAGAGTAAAACTCTGTTTTTAAAAAAAAAAAAAAAAAAAGAAAGAAAGCACTATAAATATTTTTTAACTAGTCAAATATATTGATCTTGGCCATCTTTTATGGTCTCTGGGTTTCGTTATGGTTTAAAAGCTTTCCTTAAGAGAGATTTAAAATGTTTTAAGAGTTGTGTTTGGTGTTTGTGTTTGATGTTTCGTGTCTTTTGGTGTTTGTAAGGAATTTAGTCTTCTTAATGTGTAACAAGTATAAATCCTTATACTTGCTACACACTTATAAATACTTAAACTGAGTAGATTTTAGAGTAATATAACAATGAAATACCACAGGCTTTGTGATTCCAGAGTCCGGCTTGAAATCCAGTCTGTGCGCCTAGTAAAATGACTTAAGCCATACTGCTTCCCTTCTCTGAGCCTCAGGTTCCCCATCTCTGCTTTGCTGAGTTCTGCTATGAAAGAGAATGCCTGGCACATCATAGATTCTCAGTGTTAGCTCCTCCTTGTCCTACTTCCCTGAAGTCTTCCACTAAGAAATAATTTGTTACATTAACTTGCATTATGCATGTACTACAAGTAATGAAATAATTTCTCTTTAAAAGTGTTTTGTAATTTAAATCCTAGACAATTTCTTCTGATATTTTAAAGCTAGCATGAATTAATGACTGATAACTGGTTTGAATTGTCATTATTAAAAAATGTGTCAGTACAATGCTTTGCCTTTTACTGGCGGATGGGATAAATGTTTGTGAAAACAGTGAAGAATGAATTTTTAGACATGGAGTTATTTTCTTTAAAAACTCCTAAACACTATATCTAGAAATCTTATTGAAAACTATTCGTATAAAAATAATTATTGAATGAAGGTAATCAGTGTACCCTAATTTATCCTCTTTTGTAAGTCTAAATTTTTATGTTTATTCCATTTTTTGAAAGCAGACTACATTTATAGGGAGAATAATACATTTAAAAATCATTAAAATGATCTTTAAAAAATAAAGGGTAATGTCTTTATCCTTTGCTCTCATGGTCATATTGGCTATATTTTTATGATTTTTCTTGGCTAATTCCTGAGAAGTTGCCCCCTTAATATTTGGGGCATGAGGAAAAGGTGCAGTTTTAGAAATGCTTTAGCTTTGCATTTGAATAAAATTTATTGTCACTACTCTAGGAAACTTCGGTAAGACTTGAGTGCCTTTCCTCTGTTAGGCAAGTTAGACTATCCCAGACCTTGCTCTGGATGTCAAGATTTTTGAAGTTCAAAGCAGATGTGTGTGGATGAAAAAACATCTGGTGAAGAGAACTTGCTTCGTTGCATGACACTTTTCCTGCACTCTTCAGTGGAGCGTCTGTTGAGCAGGTTGGCAGGTTTGATAACTAATTAATGATGAGGAATGAGCCATGTAGCTGAGGAACTCCATTTTGCCCCTTACTGTCTCTTTCTTCCCCATATGTCTGGCAAAGCCTTCAGAGGCTAGGATCATGGATCACACAGTTGGGTCTCAACTCAAACACTTCTCTCCAGGCTTAACTAGCTTAGAGATATAAACAGATGGATGGCCTGGGGGACAGGGTTTAGTGTTGAGCAATGCCGTTTTATTATCAGGGACTTTTGAAATTTTTATTGGAGTGCATTACAACTTTAAAAATGCCTTTGAAAACTCCGAATTTTGATGCTATGTACTTGAATGTGACAGAGCTTTGTGAGCATCCCTGGATGTTTGTAGTTTTCTTTTTGTAACTTTTTATTTAGGTATAATTTTACATATACAGAAAAGTTGCAAGAATAGTGCAAGGGACACCAATGATTCCTTTTCCCAGATTCAACCAGTGTTTTCCTTTTCTTCCATTTGTTTTCCCATCCTCGCACACTCCTCCCTCTACGCGCACACAAGCACGCGCATACACACATACACACAAACAAGTAAGTGCATTTTTTCCCCTGAACTATTTGAGAGTGAATTGGAGACATCAGGCTCCTTTATTCCTAATACTTTCGTGAGTATTTCTTAAGATCAAGGCCATTCTACTAAATAATCACAGTACAGTTATCAAAGTCATGGCTTTTAGTATTGATATAACACTACTGTCTAACTCACAGTCCCTTTTCCAACTTTATCAACTGTCTCCATAATGTCCCTTACAACATCCCCCCCCACCACCGAGTCCAGGGTACAATCCAGGATGACACATTGTGTTGAGTTGTCATGCCTTCTTTAAACAGGAAGTTTCGCAACTTTGTGTTTTCTGACTTTGGCATTTTTGAAGAATTCAAACCAGTTATTTAGTAGAGTGTTGCTATTTCAAGTCTGTTTGATGTTTCCTCATTCAATTCTGGTTATGCATTTTTGTCAGGAATACCAAATACCACAGAAGTGTTCTGTCTCAAGGTATCTTATCAAAAGGCACATGGTGCTGATTTGTGCCTTAATTGGTGGTGTTAGCTTTGTTCATTGAGTTAAGTTGGAGTCCATCAAGTGTTTCCACAGTGAACTAACAGTTTTTCCTGTTATAAGGTTTTTTGGAGAGATACTTTGAAGCTATTTAAATAGCCCGTCCCTCTTCAGATTTCCACCTGCTAGTTTTAGCAACCATTATTTTCTAACTCTGTTATTTTTTCTATACTTATTAGTTGGCATTCTGCTGAAGGAAGAGCTTTGTCTTCTCCTCCATTTATTTGTTTGGATCAGTATGGGCTCATTGGTTCCTACTTTGTTCAGTGGTTGTAACTCATTACTCTCATTATTTATTTTGACAGGCACAGATTTTTGCCGGTAAGAGCCCTTCGAGTTGACCCCTGGGTCTTTTTGATAAGTCTCCTTTACTCTTTGAGCATTTCCTTACTTTTCTGGTACAACAAGATGTTCCAGATTCACTTTATGTTTTCTCTGCCCCAGCTCTGGCAGGGACATTTTTCCAAAGAATCCTGGTTCTTTTTTTTTGTAGAGAATGGTATTTAGAAATTAAGGGCCGGGTGCAGTGGCTCATGCCTGTAATCTCAGCACTTTGGGAGGCCAAGGCAGGTGGATCACCTAAGGTCAGGAGTTCGAGACCAGTCTGGCCAACATGGTGAAACCCCGTCTCTACTAAAAATACAAAATTAGCTGGGTGTGGTGGCACATGCCTGTAATCCCAGCTACTCAGGAGGCTGAGGCAGGAGAATCACTTGAACCCAGGAGGCAGAGTCTGTAGTGAGCTGGGATTGGACCATTGCACTCCGGCTTCGACAACAAGAGCAAAACTCCATCTCAATAAAAATAGAATTTAAGATGTGTGTGTGTGCGTGCGCGTGTTTTAAAAGAAACCACACTATGGAATATTACATTTACTAAATCACTGTATACCGTATATATGAATGTGTGTGAGCATTTAATGTTACAAGAGTCAAACAGAAGAGCATTTATTTTACATGTAATAATCATAAGTTTTGACAGGAAAGAAATACATTTTTCATTTCACAGTAAATGGCATTACACAGTTTTAGTGATAAATCATCTTGACATTTATGAAGGAGCAAATGGAAAGTGGGAAACTGAGTGTGTTAAATATAAAGCTATCTTTAACTGTTCTATTAAAAAGCAAAGATTTATTTTCCATCTGTGATCTGAATGTGCCTATTTGTGTTCTCTTTTACGGCAGTGGAATTTCTGTGGAGCCACACGACGGAGAGCATGTGTGTTGGATATATGTCAGCCCAGGATGGGAAAGCCAAGGTAAGCGGGAAAAAACTGGGTCATAACCTGAAAACCTTGTAGCCATCGCACAAACCTCTAACCAGCTAAGTTGATGTGGATGAATTTTTTCAGCTTTTCTTGGGCAGTAGCTCTATGATCTTTATAAGAATCTGAATAAGAACAGTTAACAATGCTAACAGCTCCAGAGAAAACTAGCATATCTATTTTGCTTTTGGTGACACAGCAAGGGAGCATTAGGAAAAGCCTGCCCACTTTCCCTTACAGCTCCCAGCTTCTTCCTTTTTGCCCATTGTGAATAAGTAGAAAAGAGGAAACTGGGATTTGGGAAGAGAAAATGAGAGTGAAGCTGATGAGTTGGCATAGATGGATGATTGCAGATGGATGATTCTGCAAGGAGTGTTGGAATAAAGGAAACTGAGTCAAACAAGCTTTGACCCATCCTGAATGTTTAATGGCACAGGTGGCTGACATGCTTGCAAGTGTGACCCGTCTGATCTTTCAGTGTGTTCTGTCATGCCCTGACATGGTGTCTCCGTGGGCAGAATCAAAGGTCTTTGTCCATGTGCCACATGCCCGTGGCACTCATCCCTCAGTGAGTTACGGTAATCACATAGGCATCCACATCCCTCAGTGAGTTACGGTAATCACATAGGCATCCACGTACCGTCTCTGGAGTTGCTTGGCTTCCCTGGACTCATGATGGTTGAGCCTGGAGTAAGCAACTTGATTTGTGGGTTTTATTTTATATTGGCCTCATGTTCTTCTTGTTCATAAATTTTTTAGAAACAGCTGTGGCCTGTGATGTTTACTTGGCATTAAAGTCCCTCAGTTCTAAAGCTGTGAAGCTGTGCAGCCTTGTTTTTAAAGGAAATGATTTATTTTGCACATTTTGACATATAAAATAGGAAAACTTCTGATATGAACTGTCTGATACAAATTGAATCATAGATAAAGGATAAATATAATAAAGAACACTTTATTGCTTATTTGTCATGTAATACCCATCCCGACTGTCCTTTGTATATTATCCAGCCAGACTGTAGTTCCACAGAACTTTTGTGAGTAGTATAAAGAACATTTATTCAGACAAGGATTGGCTTATATTGTGAAAATATTACTGAGATCCACCCTCCCCCTTTGCTTCACCTTCACCTGGTACAATATTCATATTGTGTTAGTAGACCTATTTCCTAAGAGAATACGTAAAAGATTGCTTTGTTTCATAATTTATATAGAACGGAAATACAATTACCTGTTTTAAAGGTGATTTAAGGGTTTAGAACAGCACTAATAGAATTTTGTGTGATGTAAACATTTTATATCTCTGTTTTCCAACAGGGAAGCTACTAGCCACATGTGGTTATTGAGCACTTAAATGTGGCTAGTTTGATTGAGGACCTGAATTTTAAATTTTACTTAATTTAAATTTAAATAGCCACATGTGACTCATGGCTACCATATTGAACAGCACAGGTTTAATGAATAAGTATGAAAATGGTTATTCATATTTTCAGATTCATTTCTTCTCAGTGACAAAACAGTTCCCATACATAAAACAAACCTGATAAACCCCAAGAATCCTTGCATAAGAGTAGCTTGCAGCCATTTCAGTTTCTCTGACGCCTTACATATTGATTCAGAACTAAGATTGCTTTTTAACAAAAGAGCATGTTTGAAGTGGACTTCAGCACTGAAGCCAGTCTGGTCGGGTATGATTATGTTATTAAGTCCCTTGTATGGACATTTTTTGTTATCCTTGCTGGTGGCCCATGAAAGACACCTTACTATTTAATGTGAAATATAGGTAGTAAAGAGTGGAGAGTCCTGCTATGAGCCCGAAGATATTTGGCCTCCAGTTATATTGCTTGACATCTGGTAGACATGGTTTTCTTATTGTTGGTAAATTCTCCAGCTGGTAGTCAATTGGGCCAGCAGATACAGCTGGCCCTCTTGCCTCTCTTGTAAATTATGTTTTTGACCTTCCTTGAAGAGAGTTAATCCCTCTTCCTTCCTTTCCCCTTTGAGCCTGTGACTACAAATACTTTCAAGAAAAAAAAAAAAGAAAGAAAGAAAAAAAGAAAACCTGAAAACAAAAACACGAATGATTTGGCTGCCGAATTCTATTGATCAAAAAGAAAAATTACCTCTTTTGTTATAAATGCTAGAATTTTTTTTGTATTGCAAGTAAGACAAAGTTGTAGATGAGAGGCTGAGCTCAAAAGTGAAAAGGGGCTGTAACAATGTTTGTATTCTGTTTAAGCTTTGGACCTTCTTCTCCCTCTGGTTTCCTCACTTCTATAAAAGAATAGTTGAGCTAACTAGTGGCATACCCATTCAGCATCGTGACTGGTTTCCGAAGCATGTTCCTCCATAATGTTGAGAGCCATGGTAGCACAATGAGTAAGAAGGCATCTTAAAATATTTAAAATTTAAAAACTATTTTAAAAGTTAAAACACTTGTGCCCTGCTTTTCAAAAATTGTCTTCCTTCTGCTTGTTACCAAACTCAGAAACTGAAGCCACCTGGCCATTTGAACGTGTATAAGCTAGCTGTGTTTAATCCGAGTTAAAGCCTTGAATTAAAGCTTAGCTAAAAATCATATTACTTAGAAAAGGCTGGATAATAATCAATATCATTGTAACCAGAATGCGTATATAATATGAATAGAGCTAGGTTCTTTTACAAGTCTCCTTTTTAAAAGAATGTTATTGCAATTAAATCATTTAATTTAATTTCTAAACTGCTTTGATAGCATAAGGTGAAGATTTCTTTCTAAGGAGTCAAAATTACGGCATCGTTACCAGTTGGATTTTAAAAACAGATTGCCCATATCCTACCCAGATAGCAGACAGTTAATGAAGAGTTTTTAATAAACACCCAGTGTGCATGGACTACTGTAATAGAAACAGATGTTAAAACTGGCATGGAACTTACTCAACTATCATACATGAAATTAGGCTTCTTTTATTATGTGGAGGTCACTTTTTTTTTTTTTTTTTGAGACGGAGTCTCGCTCTGTCACCCAGGCTGGAGTGCAGTGGCCGGATCTCAGCTCACTGCAAGCTCCGCCTCCCGGGTTCACGCCATTCTCCTGCCTCAGATGTGGAGGTCACTTTTTATAACTACAGTGAAAATACTGTTATAAAAATTTCCTTGAGGAGGAGCAGACTATTTTATAGCCTTTAAGTGTCTCTCCACAGACTTCTTATTAGTTGTAGGGAAAAATAATAACTATATAATGGAGAAACCAGGCAACACTTTGACCATGTGATCAAAATTAATACCACCAATGGGGGCAGACGGACAATACGTGCCTCTGGCTATGATAACTTGAGGATACAGTATCACTTGTCTAGTATTCCATCTGGAAATATATAACCTGAACCTAACTGTGAAGAAACATCAGACAAATTTAAAATGAGGAACATTCTGTGAAGAAGGAAAAAAAGAACCATGTTCTTCAATAATATCAGTGTCATAAAAGACAGAGGCTGCAGAAATATTCCAGAGGAAACAATACTAAAGAGATGTGACAGCTAAATGCAGTAACTGGTCCTAGACTAGATCCTATATTGGAAAAATGCTATAAATGCATTATTAGGTCAATTTACAAAATTGGAATATGGATAGTAAAAAGTGTCATATCATTGTTAAACTTGCTGAGGTTGGTTACTATACTGTGGTGTATAATATTTTTATTCTTAGGAAATATATACTAATGCATCTAGGGGTACAGGGCCATAATATAGGCAATATTTTCTCAGTGGTTCGGAAAAATATATTATGTGGATGAATGGATGGATAGAGCAATAGCAAATTGCAAAGCAAATGGAGCAAAAGGGAGCAAAAGTAGTTGAACCTTGGTAAAGGATGTATAGATCTTCCCAGAACTATTCTGTAATTCTTAAATTATTTTCAAATTAAAAAAAAATAAAAATGTCACTCTGGGTCTTGTGGCACATTTGATTAGTTCTTTGGGCCTTGTACTTGAAATGATGCAGTTCAAAAAATATCACCCTTGGTTTATAACTAAGTCTGCATTGGATGAATGATTATATTCCCCCAAACTATTGCCTTTTCCTCGTTTTGAATTCCTGACTAGAATGACCAAAATTCAGATAATAACACATCCCATTACAAATATTTTGCAAAATATTTCTATAATAGTTCCTTGTTTTCCAGTGGGATCTAAGAGAGATTAAGCTTTTTCATGATCAAGGTACTGTCCTCTTAGGATGTTTTTTGTTATATTACTCAGCTTTTCTAAAAAAAAAATTTTTACTCAACATATTTTGTTGTTGTTGTTGTTGTTGTTGTTTTGAGATAGAGTATTGCTCTGTCGCCCAACAAATACTTATTTGTGATGCTTCTCTGCCTTGTGTGACAAACCCTGTGTCATACTCTGACACATGCTAATGAAACAGGACAGATGTTGTCCAAACCATATTTCCCTAACCTAGGGAAAGCACAGGGCACTGGGTGGTAACTCAGTGATATTTACATTTTGTTTTTAACATTTTCTATTTTAATGCCATGAAGTCTTCCAAACCTCATGAGGTCGTGCCAGGATTTCTATTATTGGCACATCTGACTAGATCTTTGGGCCATGCAGTTAAAATAAATAAGTATTGGGATGGGTGCAGTGCCAGGAAGTTGGAGCCTGGGTTGCCCTCCCACTCCATGCACACTGTGAGCTGTGGTTTGATCACTCTGCCTCTGGATCCCAGAGGCCTCATCTGTCATATGAGCATAAGAAATCCTTAGTTCGCCTTAAGCCCTTCCTGTGATATGATATGATAAGAATGAGGAAGCAAAACCTTATCTATCTCAATACAGATGACTAGACCCCATTAAGTCCTTGATGTTGCTTCCAATCTGCAGAATTCCAAATTCAACATTCCAGATTACATAAACAAGTATTTGCTATTCAATTTTCAGTAGGAGTTTTGCAATACCAATGTAGTATCTACTGTGTTCTAACATGTTTTATCTTCATGAAGATGGTTTACAGGACTTTT